GTGCAAAAACTTGCTGCCTGTCTACACTGGCCGCGTGTTCTTGTGCAAGTAAACTGATGTTCTAATGTATGAAATCAGGGCTTCTTGCACCAGAACTCTGATGCTCCTGCTTAGGAATAAGCCCTTTCGCGCAACTGTTCTTGTGCAAGAGGCCAGTGTAGACAGGCAACATGAATTTCTTGCGCAAGAAAGCCGTATGGTTAAAATGGCCATCAGAGGTTTCTTGCGCAAGAGAGCATCTACCCTGGCATGGATGCTCTTGTGCAAAAGCACATCTCTTGTGCAAAAGCACACGCCAGTGTAGACGCTCTCTTCTGGAAGAGTTTTGCAGAAGAACTCTCCGCAAAGGAGTTTTGTGTAGCCTAGTGGTTAGGGCTCTTACCTGGGGTATGGGAGAGTTATGTTTGTGTCCTTGCTCCACTGAATATTTATGTATTGGCACAGAGTAACATCTTAAACAGGAGCAATGAAGAAAGACCTAGCCTCGAGGTTAGGACAATTTGGGGGAGATATGGGTTCAAGTCCTGAGTGAGAGTTAGTCTCGGGCTCTCCCACATCCTGGGGGAGAGCTTTAACCACTGGAACACAGACTATGAGGAAAGGAAGGGGTGGCACCTGCTCCTCTTCATTTTCTGGCAATGACAAAGCTGATGCGGCAGAGGCACTTCAGTTCTGATTCAGGCTCATAGCTGCTAATCCCAAATTAGCCCAGAGTTCAGTGCCTAGCTCCATTTGAGGGGTACTGCTTAGGCCTCCCGCCTCCTTGGCATTTCCTATTAGCTCAGTTAGCCAACCCCCTGTATAATTTGCTGCATGTTGTGAATCCCATTTTTAGGTGTCTAACTGCCCCCATGGATTGCATAGGGACCAGGACCAGACTAACTAGAGACCGTTGATGCAAATGGCATCCCATCTAGTCTGGAGAGTTGGCAGCCTTAGGACAGCGTGGGGCACCTGGAGCCTAACTCATGGCTGTGGATTCCACTGTGCAGCAGAGTGTTGTAATGCTACATCTCATCCCCTTTGTGGATCTAGCCTGAAACCATTAAGGCAGAGGTGGGGAACCTTTTTTGGGTTGGGTGTTTCTGATCCACAGAAAAATCAGTTGGAGGCCACATGCAAGTAAGAAGCAAAACAAAAATTAAAACAAAAAAAACCTCTCAGTGACAAGTGAGAGGGAGGACACTTGTCCCATTCCTCTTGTTCACCAGAGCTTTGGGGGCCCAAGCTAGTAGGTTTTCTGTGTACCAGACCCTCGGAGGGGCTTTGGGGTGCTAGAGTGGGGAGCCCTGAGCCTCTGGGACCAGATCCAGGCAAGCTGAGGGGGCCACATTCAGCCCCTGGGCCTTAGGATCCCCACCCATGCTTTAAGGGCACATCTACATTGCAGGGAATATCTGTGGCACCAAGGGCAACTGACTTGTGAGACTCAAGCTGCAAGGCTAAAAATGGCAGTGTCGATGTTCCACCTTTGTAGAGTTTCAGAGCCCAGGCTCCAGCCAAAGACCAAATGCCTACATTGATTTTTTTAGCTTTGCAGCCTGAGCCCTGCAAACCTGAATTAATTGATCCAGGCTCATGGTGCCCTGGGTCTCTGAGTGCAGTACAGGCAGTCCCCAAGTTACGCGGATCCGACTTACGTCGGATCCGCAGTTACGAACGGGGTTTGCTCCGCGTCTCCCTGGTCTGCTGGAGACCAGCAGACCAGGGAGACGGGGAGCAAAGCCTTTGAGGACGCCGGCAGCGGGACAGCTGTGGCGCGTCTGGGCTGTCTACTGCCCGCGTGCTCTGCAGCTTTGCTCCCCGTCTCCCTGGTCTGCTGGGGGAGGCTCCCAGCAGACCAGGGAGACGGGGAGCAAAGCCGCGGAGGACCCCGGCGGCAGGACCGCAGCACATCTCGGTCCCACCGCCCGCATTTCCCTGGTCTGCTGGGAGGGGCGCAGCTAGTGCGCCCCCCCCCAGCAGACCAGGCTTTTCTCTGGACGCCTGTGGTAGAGCAGCTGGGGCGCTGCCGGTTGGTCCCGCAGCGCCGCTCTGGGCGCTACTG